TGAAAATAAGACTGTCAGTGGAAGCGTGTTTTGTGACGGATATCAGCTCTGATCTCAAAACATCAACACGTACAGCTCAGCTCAGTACAGTTACAGGGTTAATTACAGATGTAGCTGGGTGAAATGTAAAGACCTGTTTCAGGACAGCCGGAAGAGGTGATCTCATGGTTCCCTCTGGCCATCAATGGGTGAACAAATAATTAAATACAATTGCTTTTGCCAGTTGGCAAAGGTTCCTCTACATTTTGAGAAACGAGAGAAAGAAGATTGTGATTAGTGGATCCCATGTTTGTCAAAGGTGGGGCTTGTTTGTCTGGGTGTTTTTTTGCTTTTTCAAGTGTTGCATATTATGGGTACTGTGGTTTGAATGGTTCTGAAAACACCCGGTCTGTGTGACAGACACAGAAATAGCCAAGTGATGCTTTTCAGGAATCGCTGTGAACAAGCACTGGGGCAGAAGGGGAGACAGAGCAATGGTTACTCACCTTCAGCTCTGCTCCACTGGCCTGAGTAAGCAAGCTGCTACACTGACAAAGCTTCAGGCACTGCCCTCCTCTTTTCAGGGAGATCTGTATGTTTCAGTGAAGACTCTTCAAATAGCAGTCTCATTTTTTTTAGACTGTCTTTTCCTGGATTACACTGGTTTATTTGTTCCCTACTTTTACTTATCTTTGGAAATGTGGTTCTACAAAGGTTCTCACAACGTTTGACGTGCTCATCCTTTCATCAGGAAGTTTTTAACTGCTCCAGGTTTACAAACCCATTTTGCTGCTTCACTCTTCATTGCAGCAAATTAATGTAAGCTTAGTTATAATTTGATAAATGGAATTTAATCACTTTTCCCATGTGTTTGACGTAACGCTAGTGATTTTCAAGCACATTTCCTCACCTCACCTCACAATGACTCCTAGCCTAACCTAGATTCTCTGGGTATTATTGCTTTATATTTTACAGCTTGATTATATTGAGTGTGATAACTGACTAAAAAAAGGTCTGGCAGTTCTTTTCTCTGATCTATTATTTAGTGACCTGCCTTAGCATGAATGAAGGTCATGGAACTGATAGTACTGGTGCCCCATTTTTCCATATGACTTTTAGAAACTTTTTAATAATTTTTTTTCCCTATTTCTTTTAAAAATTTGGCTTTTTTTTTTTAAGTCCTTCTGCACTGCTGGCAAGTAGATCCACTGGCAAATGCAACCAATTTTTGTTGTTGTTGTTTTGGGGATTTTTTAAAATATTTTTTTACTATCATTCTTATAATTAGACTTTTTAATAATTTTTCTATAATTCTATAATAAATGCTGTAATTCTTTAAGTACAATTATCTTTTAATATTGGTATATACAGTTTAGTGTAAACACATCTTAATCTTTTTTCCCCTTTAGAGCAGTAAGTTTAAATCTGTATGTACAGCAACTTTTATGCATAGCAAAGCCGTTACCATACTGTCTTGTGCAGCAGCACCTCACATCGTACTACCAAGGGAATAAGTGATTATTTTCTTAAATGCTTTCAAGGTGGGTGTGTTGTTGCATATGCAGAGCACTTAATTGCAGCTGGGGATGAAGATATTGTTTGAGGCAGATGACTGTGAATGATTGGAAGCCTTCAGTAGCTTCAGGCTTTAGAGAGCAATGCTGACCCAGTCTTTAAAACCAAAGATGTTTGCTTAAAACTGAATGAAACTGTCTGTATAGACCTTCATCACTGCTGAGCACTTTATTGCTGCAGTGCCCTGATTCCTGCTCTTGGTAAGGACACACGTTTCAATATTTGCAGAAGGCAGAAATGTAGTAGCCGGTTATTGAAAGAAGCTTGACCAGGTTTGGAAAAAACAAAAATTCTTTGGCATTCTTCCTTACATCTTGTTTCAAAATAACCCTGGTACCATGGTTACAAGACTAGTCACATTGCTCTTTCTCCTGGGGATCTCATGTTGTGTGTCCCCATATGTTCTCAGGATCTGAATGCCTCCGTTTGCTCGCTCCCACCAGGCCCTGGGTTGCAGCCCTGTGCACGACCGCTGTGATGGTCCGATGGGCACTGCTCATTGCCAGAGCTTTTCTTCCTGATTGTCTCTCCTGGTTTGTGATTTGGATGGATAAGTGCAATACATTTTTTTTTACCTAAATATGGAAAATGAGCAGAGCCAAGGGTATGAAACAAAAAGGAATGAATATTCTACACCCAAGTTTAATCTGTATTATCCTGGAGCTGGCTTTACTTACCTAGAGGTTTATTTGCAGCTTGAGTTGGAGGGGACAGATTGCAGCCGTTTTTCCTGTCTCTGGGAGTCTTCTCATCTCGTTATCCTTTTCCACTACCATGCTCTTCTCTTGCATACCCCATTTACCTTCTGTGATAAGGGGTTTTTTGTGCCTGTATGTGTCTTGGTAATTGAGTTGTGTTGTTTATTAAAAACCAAAACAAACCAAAACCCCCACCACTCCAGAAAACTGCAGTTCCTTGGCCTGGCTGAACAGTTCTGTAAGAGTAGCTGAGGAATCCCTCTGCCAACCAAAAACCTGACTATTGTCTTTAAAGGGATGCTCCTTATCTAGGCTATTGTTCTAGCTTTCCTGTCTAATTTCTTTAATGTTTTTTTTCAGCCTCCTTTGATTTAACTGTTTATTCAGTCAGACAACAGTACAAAATTGAGTAGGGAAACTATGCACAGAACTAACTCGTCTTTTCACCTAAAGAAGTCTTCCAAATTTGTCTTTAAAGCAAAAAAACCCCACAAAACCCCCCACAAAAAACCCACAAACAAACAAAAAACACAGAAAAACCCAAACCAACCCAAACTTGCTAGAAAAGGAATAAGGAGAAGGATATTTTGGAAGTCCTAGTTTGGACTAATAGTGCAGACAAGTGCATGTTTTTTTCTCACACTGCTCAGTTAAATTTTATTTTGATGTTTGTACTTATGTTAATGAAAAACTACTAGAAAAAGTATGTTGTGTATGAAGGTGAATAACATGTCAACTTAAGGGGTAGTACTTCCCTTGAAATACTTTAACAAATTATATATAATCCCTCTTCACTGCTGTGCTACGGAGACCTGGATTCCATGTGACTGTTTTGATTGATTATGATTCTTTATTTCTAAGACATGACTCTTGCTTGTTTTTTGAGAGGGGAAGTTTGTCTGTTCTCTGCCAAGAACACCAAATACCAAACATTCTACTAGTTACTATATTAGGCTGAGTCATGATAACTGTAAACTTTGTGTATTTTTATTCCATGAGGAATAATAATTTGATACAGTGCCATTTAAAGCAAGATGTAAAGGTAATTTACAGATTAAATGTTATTTCAAGATTACCTCTAATGAGAGAAGGGGACTGCCACCTAAAATATGGACAAAAGGTGTCTCTGTCAACTTTCTAATTCTAGTAATAGAAAAAATGGTTAATTATTCTTCCCTGGTTTTCTGAGTGTAGTGTGGATTAGGTTTTTGGTTTGTTTTTCTCATCAGCTGAAGCCTTGGGTTGCTAACAGAGCTGTCTGCTCTGAGAAATTGATGAGCCAGAAGCTGGAGCACAAATGTGTGTGGCAGCTACTGTGCACTGCCTTCCTACTTTGTGGACACTTAGTGCTTTCATGCAAGATAATCTCCTCCATTCCTAGATTCCTCACAGTTAACCTCTTGTGTGAACACTTCCCAAATGTATTCATGTGATTTATCTAGTGTACTGTGATCATGCACCTTAATTTGCGGCACAAGAAGCTTCTTGTTCTCTAGTTATCCTGGAAAGTCCCTCCAAGAAATAGTATGTCTAATGTAAAAATTATATGAAATTCTGATATACTTTGGGGTATATAGAAAGGGAAATTTCAGTCTTTGTGTTAGCAGGTTACATCCAAGCTGTCTGCCAAGGCTACAAAATATTCCTCATTGTATGATGTGTGCTGGAAACAGAAGTGGGGAAAAACCCAGTGGCCCTGAAAATGTCCATGTTGAATTCAGTGACTCTCTTGAAGAGGTTTTCATTGACAGTTGGTTGTTTTCATAACACTAGATGCAGCCTGAACAGATTTTCATACAAATAGGGCACAACATATCGTCATTCTGACCTGCAAGAATCCTGCAGCTCTGGCTTGTAGCCCATCTTGGCAAGTGTCAGCCACACTGAACACCTTTTGTTTCTTCACTTAATTTAATTTTTCCTTCCCCTGGGCATTATGAAAAGCTATATCCTGCAGACATTGCAAGTAATTGGAATGGCTGTAAATATTTAATATTATAAGTTTGAAAACAACTGATTTTTAGCCTTCCATTTTGAGTGTTTTATGGGGTTTTTTTGTTTTGGGTTTGTTTTGGTTTGGTTTTGGGGTTTTTTTTTAAGTGAAGAAAAGATAAAGAAAATTATTCTCCTGTCCCCAACATTTCAAATAGCTGATTGCATCTATAGTTTTGCAAAGTGCTGTGCATCCTGATTTATATCAGTTCTTTTAAATGCAAGAGGGTTGTACTATGTAGTTTAGCTGAACTATTCCTTAGAGAAAATATGACTTTTTTTTCTCATTTCACTTCTTTTACTTTTCCTCACAGAATTAGAATAAGAAATAAGCAGTTCTTAGAGATCCTTATTTGCTGATAGAAATTTATGTGGAACTGTAGTACGAATCTATTGCATTTACTGCACCAGTTGTACTGAGTCTTCTTAAATGGATTTTTAATCACATAACCATATCAAGTTATTGAATAGAATAGTGTTCAATCATGGCAGTCTTCCTGAATACCAAATTGGATAGAACTAAATGTTAGGGAAGTGATTTTCTTTTTCTTTTTTTTTCTTCTTCTGTAAACAGTTTGTGAAGATCTGTTCAACTTATTAAACCAAAACTCACTGGCAAAAGAATATGCAGCTTGAAATAAGAACAGTTGCATCATTAATGTGCTTTGAGAACATGATTATACTGAATCTTTTTATACTCTGCTATATTTTAATTTGGAAATGCAGCAAGTGCAGTTGTGTGTCTTATTGCTTTAGGTTGGTGGAACAAAAGCTGGAGTTGTGCGTTTCTTGGGAGAAACGGACTTTGCTAAAGGAGAATGGTGTGGAGTAGAACTGGATGAACCTCTGGGAAAGAATGACGGAGCCGTTGCTGGAACAAGGTTAGTCTGTCATCAGATAGCAGCCACCTTAAAGATTTTGCATCTCTATATTCTGTTTTGGTTTTTTTAATATCTTAGATGAACCTTTGTATCAAGGGAAGTAGTTAGGCTGTAAACCTGACTGTCTGAGGATGGTGGAGGGGGATCGTTAGACACTGATTTGAATTTTATGATGCCTACACATCTCTGAAAGTCTGCATCAACCCACATTGATGGGATTCACTGATCTCTCCTACTCCCGTGTGAATATCATTCATAGACTGGTAATGGAAAACACAATTGCCTGCTTTTTGAAGGTCTGCTTGGTTTCTCAGCTTGGAATGAATGCTTAGTTAAGAAAATATCTCTGGATATCTAATAGCTCAACTTAAGGGAGATCTTCCTGCTTCACAGGAACTGAAAGCTCCTGTACCAGTAGTTGTCTCATTGTCAAGGTTGGGAAGAGTATAGCTGCTTCCTCCAATAAGTCACACTTAGGAGGCACTAAATCACATCACAATTTAACTTTCTTTCTCATTTGGTATAAGAAACAATCCTTTAACTCATTAAAAAGAGATTTTACAAGGATTGTGCAACCTTAACATAGGTGATCACAACCTGAAATTTTAAGGGGCTTTTGTATATATGCAACCAAAGATATATTCTGTATAATCAAATATGCAACCATGTATAGGTATGTATGTAATAAAATGTAAAACTACTTGATTTAATTAAAATTTCATTTGATTTTTAACTCTCTGCTATCACATTTGTTGTTGGCAGCTCAAGGGAGCGTATCAAAGAGGAGAGCTGTGGATGTTAAACTTTGAATTAGTTTTTTAGGAATCAAGGAGCTCCAGCTCAAGAGTATTTTCTGTTGAATTTCTGAAGTCTGCTATTATCATGCTGTTGCAGCCTCTCAAAGTCCCATTTCCAAATCTAGTTTTAAAAAAAATAATAATTTAAAAAATTGCAGTCTAATATAGATGAGGTTGTTAACCAGCTGTTACTTTGTTCTTTAGTACTTTTAGGCTATTGATGTAGAATTCTTTGAAGCCATACCATGTGTCTGAAAAGACAGAAGTTAATTTAGTACTCTCATCTGTCTGCTTTGTTTTTTGAAGGTATTTTCAGTGTCAGCCAAAATATGGTTTGTTTGCTCCAGTCCACAAAGTCACGAAGATTGGATTCCCCTCAACTACACCAGCAAAAGCAAAGACAACTGTGCGGAAAGTGGTTGCGACTCCCACAGCCCTGAAACGTAGTCCAAGCGCATCTTCCCTGAGCTCTCTCAGTTCTGTGGCATCTTCAGTAAGCAGCAAGCCAAGCCGTACAGGACTAGTAAGCTTCTTTTTCTGTTGCATGCTTTACCTTCCCAAGCAGGAATCCACGTGGCACTTGCCCGTGGTCTACTTGCATAAATTGGAAATAGAACAGATCTTGGGGAGAGCACAATACACGTTTAATTGTGCTCTCTTTTTCATTCAAAGCATGCATGAAGGAAGGAAATCTTAGCTAGCCCTGAAGAGTAGCTGAATGTTTGAATATTTAAGCTTACAAAGTTAATTCAGGCTAACCGAGTTATTTCAAGAAGAAAGGGGCTTGTGATGCCAACAAACTGAAAAGTCATCAATGTTCTCTGACTGGAATCTCCATTTAGTTGTTCATTTTCCTAGCACTGCCTCTGCCATACCTGGTTTGTGTTTGAGGATTTGGTATGCGCTAAAGCTTCCATAGATCAAACTTGTTTTATTAAGCAGGAAGCTTCAAATTGTCTCAAATGTAACAGGTTTACTTTTTCTGTTAAAGAGATGAGTCAGCTGAGAAATACAGAAGTGTCAATTCTCAAGTCTTTCCTGACAAGAAGCCTCTTTCTTTTCGATTTGGTTTTAATCCTATGAATTCATAAAAGCTAAATGTTGCAAAGTACAGTGCCTGAGGTGAATTCTAACACAGTACTAATTCCACCTAACACACTTACCATGGATTCTTTTAAAGTTACTCTGTTACATAAATGTCCTAGTCTTGGGTTGCAGCAGTAAATGGAAGTCTTCTGGGAAAGCTGAATTTTAAAAAGTCTCTTTTAAGGCAATTAAAAGCATAAAAATAATTGGTTTTTTTCCACAGTCACCCTAGACTTTTACTTTTTTTTTAAACAGAAGTATATAAATACATCTAATTAGAAAGAGATCACTCTAACTCGCGCTGATCTGGAACTGGTTAGCTGGCACACTGTCCCACTGACCAGCAGGTGTGGAACAGCGAGGTGACTTACTGTGCTCCTTCAAAACTGAAGCAGATTACAAATGAACAGAGGTCAACAGTTGGTCAGGGCAACGGGGCTAATACCTTATCACAAAAAACGTAAGGGATTTTTTGCTTGGCACAAACAGTGGGACTTTATTACTGAATCCATTCTGGAAGTTGCACTTGTAGCTGCAGAGTGCCCTCTAGTATGAAATTGGTGTACAAACATCAGTGCTACCTCGGGTTCAGGACAGGCTTTGTGAGCTGGTGGTGAAGCATTAATACAGACCTCTGCTTTTTATTCTGGATGTTATGATACTCTAAGCAACAAGAAAGCACAGTTACACATTGTAAATTTCTACAATATATTTGCCTGTTTTGCCTCTGTGTTATGCCCTAGGGCTTTTGCATGTTTAGGTTATAAAATATAAAGCTTTTGTAAACCATTCTTTCTGAAATTAAAATTCCAGCTTTCTTCCCAATCTTTTTCTCAGGCAACATGAACGTTTGATTACCATCCAAGTTAAAAGGATTGTCAAAATAATTTTGACACTGTTTCTTTAAAAGTTAAGCTGCTGAAGAAACCAGATATCCTGAAATCAGTTTTGATACAGCAGACTTTTCCTGGTCCAGTTTCTAGGAAAATTCCAACTTACCTGGAAATTGCTGGGTTCCTACATAGTCTTCTCAATTATTCAGGGCTCTTGATGTTTTATTCTTCCTGTCTAAGAAAAGCAACTGCCAAAGTAGGTGACATAATTATTTAAGAGGGCTGTCTGATGTAATTTGTATTTATTGCCAAGTCTGGAGGAAGTTGATGTTTCTCTGAAGTCTTTCAGTTTTCTTTTGGAATCAGGAATTAAGTCAAGTTTGATTTGAAGAGCTGGAATTGTTAAAAAGCAATATGTTCTGGAATGAGATATCTTCTAGAAACTGAGAGGCTCTGAAACAACCAATCTAAGCATCAAAGTTAAAGATGGTTTATTCTGTCTTGTGCCTTTTGAGTCACTTGATGCAGTAGTTTGTAAACATATCATTCAAGGCTGTGAGTTGACAAGTTAGTGAGGTTGTTAGCAGTCATGGTAACAGAAGGGGAGTGTTTTTGTGATGACAGGAGAATACGTCCCTGTTATGCTTTCTGTTGGGGATGTTGTCCAATGCCAGCATTCCAGGCTGTATATGGCAACTATTTTCAATGTTTTGACCTCTGAAAGGATCATGGAAGAAACATGCTCCTATTCTTGGGTGATACTGTTAGAGCTAAAGGTTAACATAACAGGAAAGCAAACTTCTGTGTACTGGTTTTTGTTTTAAATAAGGCTTTAACTGGGATATAATTCCTATTTAATACTTAGATTTCAGAGCTGTTAAGCTTAAAGTCAGTTTTTATTAGCTGTATTAGATTTTTTTTGGTTCAGTTTTTGCTGTTTTCACAACTCTTGCTCGCTTTTACTACATAACTTCAGTTTATTTACTTTCCCTTCTAGCTCAAAAACTCTTGAGGAAGTACAAGACAGGGCCATGCTGAATTTTCACTGGCACTGGTTCCGTTCAGTGGAGCAGAGATCATGCAAGGTCAAGGAAGAACCTAAGGTTCATTTTAGCTGTAGTTCTCCACATTGATTCATTATCTATACTCTTTAAGTTTAATATTTCAGATTTTTTTTTGTAGAAGTAATTTGAGTGATACAAACATAAGTTTTAATCAGATACCAGTTGTTCTTCCCAGGGTTTTAGCTGTAAGGCTGGCTTTTTAGGTCAAGGTAAATGCTTTTCACCCTGGATGTTTTACTGTCGTAGTAAAGGTGCAAAATGCCAGTCAGAGTTCCAAAAGTTTTTGATAAGAGCATTTGGAAATGTTATACTGTTGCTGGTGACCCAAGATGATGACTTGGTAACTAGAGGCACAGTGTTTTTAACTTGATACTAAAAGGCTGCCCTTTTTTTTTTTTTTTTTTTTTAAGCAAAAAGATGCTTAGAAACAATGAGCTAGCCTTTGTGTGAGTCTACTAAGCACACCTTCAGTTGAGGCCAGCATTTTGTTTTCACTTCAACCCTTCTGTCTCCTACACACTAGCTGCTAATTGCTACAAAGCAATCTTGCTACACTTGTATGGCCATTGTTAAACTCTAGAAAATGAAGTCATTTAAATATAAAAGGAGAAGGTCCAGTAGGTTACAGAAAGCGTTACCTTTACTAACCCAGTGTTTGTAGAGTCTGGAGATACCCCTTGTTTTCACTTGATACGCAATGATTTTTAACGTATTTACTTTGTGAAGTTGACAGAAACATCCTCCCGGTATGCAAGGAAAATTTCTGGTACCACAGCCCTGCAGGAGGCACTGAAGGAGAAGCAGCAACACATTGAACAGCTCCTGGCAGAAAGGGACCTGGAGAGGGCAGAAGTTGCAAAAGCAACCAGTCACGTAGGGGAAATAGAGCAGGAATTAGCTCTTGTTCGTGATGGACATGATCGGGTAAGAGTGATATTGCTCTTCGTAAAATAGAGGCTTTAAGACAATTGACTTAATTTCCAGAATTGTGTTTTCCTATTGAAAAGGTCTGGGAGTAAGAGATGGTGTTCAGAAACTGAAGCAGTCCATACCTGCACGATATTCCTTGTGGGAGCTTTGACTTGACGAGATAGCACATCTATTTAATTTAACTTGATTTTGGTTGAACTTTTCTACACATCTCAATAAGCAATGGTTTTCTTCTATTCTATGCATATTTAAATATGATAACATTCCTGTGCCTTGGCTCATCACTTTACCAAATTGTGATTACTGAGGTATAGATACATAACTTGGAAAAAAATTCCAATATTTTTTTCTTATTGTTCCTTCAAATTAGCATGTGCTGGAGATGGAAGCAAAAATGGACCAGCTACGAGCTATGGTGGAGGCTGCTGATAGGGAGAAAGTGGAGCTTCTCAATCAGCTTGAGGAAGAGAAAAGGTAACTGAAAACTGTCTTTATTACTGTAACTCTGTTAAAAAGAAACTTTGCATTAAAAGCAAATGCTGTGTTGACTTTGAAATATGAAACAAATTTTTAATAAGGCAGATATGGATTGTATAAAATCATATTACAGTTTCTTAAAATTAATACTAAAAAATAATCTCTTAAATTTGAGGAGGGAAGGCCAAAGTGGACTGTTTTAGAAGCTGTAACTGTTGTTTATAGCTGAATTTCATGTAACTCATTCCTTTTATTATTGCTTTCTGTTATGAAGTATTTTATTCCTACTCGTATGAAATTAATGGATCATCCCTGATCATCTTTAAACACTTTTCTTCCACTTCAAAATGAAATTTTTGATAATCTCATTTCCTGACAGTGCTGGATTAAGAATTTACAGTTTATTTTGATTGTGAATTATTTATTGCTACTAGTCATGTGCTTCTAGGTTGGGCCTGTCTCTCACAGGAAAATCATCAAAGCCATTAATTTTAGTGCCTTTTCTAATTGCCTTTTGTAACCACTTGGAGAAAGGAACCAAGATTACCAAATAGGTAAAGTGAGGTTAGGAAAGGAAATAATCTGATAAATTACTGAGACAAGGTTAGATGAGGAAATAATCTATTAGATGGTTTTGATGGGTTTGGAATGCTTTTGAAAAGCAAGAGTCTATTTAGCAACCCATTGTGAGTCTGCCCTGTAGGCTCGTGTGTGCCCCTGAAGTCAGTCAGATGTCAACCTCTCTGAAAGTCCTCCCTAAAACTAGAAATCAGAGAGGAGAAAACGCAGTGGTTAAACCCTGGGCAATTCCTTTGCAGTTTTCATGCTGCCTTTTTGTGAGACCCACTCTAACTGAATTTTCAAAACAAGCAGTAGAGTTGGGTCTGGAATTACTTGTGTATTTTTTATGAATTAATGCAGTGGGTTTTTAAATTAAAAAAAAAAAGCAGCAGTTTTGCAGCACCTCCGACAGCCTGGCCGTGGACCTGCTTTTGCTGAAGGCCGGATCAGCGGGGGTCTGTTTTACCGCAATCCTCCGTGGCCTTGAGCTCACCTTCAGCGTGTTGCTAGGCAGCCTGGCAGTGCCGCTCTGCGCCTGCTTCCCATTCACCAAAGTGACGTCCTGCAGCCAGGAAAACATCTCACGGCTTCGGCAGTGGAATATTTCTCCTTCCTAACCACTCTGAGCTTATTTACTTTGAAAATTCTCTCTAATGTGTATTCAAGTCATTCTCAGCAGTGACTTTAAAGTCAAGTAACTTTTAATCCTCTGTTTCCCAAAGCACACTGGTGAGGACCCGCTTCCAGTAATAAGTTCTTACTGTCCTTTTATTTTAGACATCCATCACTTGTAAGTCCCTTTGATGCAATGATTTCTACATCTGTCAGCCAAGCTGCAGGAACCAGCAACATGTATAATTCAAAGGAAGGAAGTCATGCTTGTCTCTTCCCTTGCAATATCTCTTATAGTGTTGAAAGGATCAAGGGGAAAAGGAGATTGGCCCCTTGTTCCTTGGGGTATACCAGAGTCAGGGGAGGGAAGAAATAACTTTTTACAAATTTTATTTTAAGTCAGATATTAGCTTCTCGCTTCTGTCTTCTCATTGTAAGACTCCTGTATGGGCAAGGCAAAGCAAGGCAGCGTTCTTGCCTGCGCTCCCATTCTGCATCTTGCAGGTCATCTTGACACCTCACATGTTTGTGCTAGAGTTTTGATGCAAGTTGATCTGCGCGCTTCTAGAAGGCCCACAGGTATCTTGGATGTGTCCTGACTTTGACTGGTTCTTAGGTGAATGGTAAAATATACAGAATGTGAAATCAGTCTGTTCATTTAGGTCACCTCTTCTGAGGACGTGCAGAATGAGAAAAAATGAGAGAATCAATGATGACTTGAAGGTTTTCTTCTTAACTTGTCAGAAAATGCAACAAAATAATTTACAGAGCTGCAGGAAGACTGATGCCAGACTTTGTCAGTGGTTGTGTTTTAAAGACAGCAGCAGCTTTCCTTCTCTCTGATGCTTCCTGGAAGAGATTTCTCCTTAATGTTTCTGGCAGTTACCTGGTTCAGTCAGAAGTCACTGTAGTTGTGGTTTCCACTGAAAAGGAAGCTTGAAAGCATTTTCTTTCAAAGTGATCTGAACTTTAATGAATTGTCCCCACAGGAAAGTTGAAGACCTTCAGTTCCTTGTGGAAGAAGAATCCATTACCAAAGGAGACCTAGAGGTAAAATATCTCCAGCTTTGTAAACAGGATATATAGTAGGACACAGGAATGCAATCAATTCAGATTGTGTGCTGTTCTCTAGAAGAGAAAGGCAGGGATGATTAATAGATGCAGTACTGGTCTGAGCATATGCAAAGCACATGGAAGTGATTCTTGGTTCTCCAGTCCCTGAGTGAGCTACCTGTCCTGAAGCTACAGGACTGCACCCTGAATTCAGTTACATACTTTAGCATGGGTTGTACTGTGAAATGGCTGCAGTTCTTTAGAGTAATTAAATTAATTCATAGCAAACTCTACTTTCTGATACTGTATTTTATATTATATCTTACTAATGTTTCTGAAATTGCTTAAGAGTAACCAGCAACAAAAAAATCATTTTGAAGGTATGAAATTGCAGGTTAATATTTATGCCTTTAAAAATTAATATTGAAGGCTAGTCCTTTCCTTAGGGAAGACTGATTAGCAAAGAAGTTTTGTCCTGAGAGTTATTGTACACAAAATCTAAACAGCAACTAATGTGTACAATTGTCATCTTTCTATGATTTATGTAACTGTAGTGTTGGGCTGAAACACCGTGTGTTATTACAGAATCGGAATACGAAACATTTAATGAAGGATTGCTCTCAGATATTTGAACCCTGCCAGTTTTTATTCTGAATTTCAAATTAAAAAGCAAGATACTTTTTAGTTGTTCTCCTCTGTTGTTGTCTAATCAGAAAAATATTAGAACTTCTTGCACAGCATAAAGTACAAATTAATTAACTTGTGTTCCTGTGAACCATTTATGATCAAAGTGCTAGCCTTAAGAAAATTATTCATTTCATATAACATTTCTTTTATTTTAGTCTTCCATTCATTTTAAGATACCTATCTAGGCTCTTCATAGAATGCTCCTTTTATTGTTTAGTCCATGGAAAATTTTAATTTTTTTTTGGTTGTTGTTAAATCAGTCAATAGTCATGGCAAACTATCTTAAAGACTCTGGTTTGCCAAGCTGCATAGCTTGGAGAGTTTAAACTGAATTCAAGATAATGAAATGTATCCTGTTGTTTGTGTTGGAATGATAGTGCTAAGTTTGCAGGTGAAATATTTTTGTTTGTTTGTTTGTTTGTTTTAATTTTACTGATAGCGAAAGAGGCAGATTTCGGAAGACACAGAAAATGTAAGAGGGCACTTAAATGTGCACAGACATCCCATGTTAACAGATTGTGTGCAGAAAATGCTTATACTTATTCACTAACTGCATAATCTGTTATTGAAACATTGACTCTAGTATTTGTGTGCATGTTGCTTTCAGAGCAGTTACAACATTTATCAACAAGAATGTGTGTAATGACTAAACGTTGTATTCCCCATTAACTGAAGAGAGGGCAAATGTGTCATTAGAATTCTTTAGGGTCAAAAACTTTGCAACTAATTGAAGAGTACAGGAGCTTGTAGAAAGTGACTTGAAACATCTTGAAACATCTTTTATTTAAATGTAGGATTTTGGTTCCTTTGTTCACAAGATTCAACGTGCTTTCCTATGAGCTCCTACTGCTGTTCAGTAGATGCAATATGCAATTAGCCAATTAATTTTTCTGAGGAAAAAAAAACTTGGTATGTTCCCCACCTCCCCTTATTTGTTTCGGGTTTTTTTGGCATGAAATGGTAAGGGGAGAGATGATTGATTTAGAAAATATCTAAAGAATTAGTGTGCAGAGCTGTCTGGTTTTACTGTATCTTCATGTAGCTTCTCTTTTGAATTATGTAGGAAAAATATTTGCTACTGGATAACAGAAATTGCCTTACAAGACGTTTAAACAGCCCTCTTGCTTCCATAGCTCAGAATAGTGGAATTTAAAAGCCCTCTCTTTGATTGGACTTAGGAAAATTTATCCCAGGCTCCCTCCTCTGCTGCATCCCCAGCCACGATAGGAAGTTCTCAAGACTAAAACTGGTTTCCTGCTGTGCATTCTTAGGTGTTCCTTTTGCGAAGCTACTTCAGCGATCTGGGTCTCCTCTAGTCTTCCAATCAGGCTCACGGTGTGTTAGAAGTAAATCTGCATGTGCCCTTCCTTTCTCTTGTTTTGTGCACTCCTTGTTTAATCCTATCTTTATACTCCTGATTTCCCTATTCTAATTTTTCCATTCAAAATGGACATCTTCACTCTCTAAAGGAGAGCAGTAGGTGCTCACTTAGTTTCTGGGCTAATGCTTCATAAAGTCAGTCATGTCCTGTGATTGCTATCCCAGCACGAAGGGACTGGAGGTCATCTTGCCCTTTTCCTAGAACTGATTAACAGCATTTATGGCTTCAGCACAAGTTCACAGTTTGACCTAGAGATGGAGAACTTAGCAGTAGCATTTATTTTGAAGTGGACAAGTAGCTAGAATACACAAATGCTGAAAATAGCTGATGACTGGTCTCCTTTTTTTTTTAATGTGTAATTCTTTAAGGTTCAAGGCAGAGTAAGGCTCGTCCCATTTCCCTATCGTTCTTAGTCTAACAGCAAAGCTTTGGAGGAGGTGAAGTTGCTTCCTTTGTTGCTTTTTGGTTTTGGCTTTTTTTTTTCTTTTCCATTTTTCTTTTCCATCTAAGGTTTACAATCAAATTCTTTTCTTCTTTTTGTAGTACTCTACTCTTCTCAGTTTACTGTCTTCTGGGTTTTCTCAAAGAGGGACATGATCATTTAGACATTTCTCTCTAGATGATCAGGAGAGAAATTTGAGTGATTCAAAAATTTGCAGTGGTTTTTACCTCAGGGAATCCGGAGCCTGTCCCTTGGAAATACACTTGTTTAAAGGATAATCCCTTATGCCCTGAGTGGGGGGAAAAAGGTGTCCAGCAAAGATCTCTGAACTTGGGGTTGTTTGTTTTTTGGGGTTTTTTTAATCTTTTATTTCCATTTTGGTATGATTTTAACTTATTTTCCTTTGTAATATATAAGAGATGAAATTAAAAAAACCCAAACAAATAACAACCCACAGTAATTGGTGATGGTGTATCTGCTTTTTGCACTAGTAAAGCAGTGTCTATGGAATGAATGATTGAAGTGTTTTGGGTTTTATGTAGCATAGAAAAATTTAAAATAGCATATTTTGCAAGTATCAGGTTTGGGGTTTCTTGGTTTTTAATAGATCCCTTTGGTGAATTAGAGCAAGGAAGGTATGAATATTCAGTTTTTAAAAATAGATTACTTTTCAGACTTACAATTTTGTTGTGGATCAGAACTAATACTAACCTGACTCAGAGAGGGGACTGAATTCTAATGACTTAGAATGTTCTTTCCCTTAGAATTCTTATTTCCATTTTCAAAGGCTGTAGGAGGCAAAAACAGTAATCTGCGTTCTCATGGATTTTTTTTCCTCGTATACACTGAAGATCTTCCAGAGATAAAGAAACAAATCTGGTGTGGAATTTCAAAAAATAGACAAATCTAAGAAGCAACTCTTAATTTTTGTGGATTTTAGTATTCTGAACCTAGTTATGACATATTAAAACAGCCAACAGTTTTCAGCTGGAAAAATGTTTTTAAAATGTTTGAAACTGCCAGATGTCTGCATGCTTTTGGGGAAGAACATATCTTGATGCTGTCAGGAGGAATACTGTGTTTGGAGAACAGGCTGGAGCAAAAGAAGAGGCTCATTCCCATCCCACTTGCTCTGCAGAGACTACATAAGATCTTTAACTGCTGCGGCTGGTTTGGAGGCAGCACTAATCAGCTTGTCACTCTATAAATAACACAGTTCTGTAGGGGTTTTTAAATATCCTATTGCAAAGATCAGAGAAGCAGCAGTGTCCTCCCAGCTGTGCACACACTGCTGCGCCCTGGCTTTGGCAGCAGTGTAGCTTTGGAATTATTCATGCATCTTCCTGCCTTTTTGGGTTCTTTCAATCCAGTGTTCAATGGGCAGCTGGTCAGGATGCAGGACTCCTCAGTTCATAGCAGTTCGTAGGGTTTGGGGGTTACTGTGTTACTTTGTACTGCAGTAAATTAACTGCAGCAGTTAAGCTGTGTGGAAAACTTTTATCAAGACTGATGGATGCAACTTCTTCTGTTAATAAACACATCTTCAACTTCATTCAGTCTTCTTCTGGACATCCACCTTACTCTTCAATGTGGGCCAGCCCTGAAAAGCTGCTCTTTTTGGAAAAGACACTGTGAAGCAACAGTAGACTTTCATAGACCTTTTAATTTGGATTGTTTAGTAAATTTAAACTAACAGTGACCTGCAAGATTGACACAATACTGGAATCTCGACACTTAAGAAATAAGCATGGCCCCTGGTTCTTACAGTTTTTTATTTCTTTTTTCTTTTTTTCCCCTCCCCTTTTTTCCACTTCAGAGGTGCAAGTCAGATTTGAACTAGCTGCTGGACTTTACCTGCATCTCTCAAACGTCAGGGCCTCTGTGAGAACCTGGATATCAAGCCAGAATATCCAATATTCTGTTGTCTTGCTAAAAATTCTACCCCTTTGTAAGCAGAAGGCAGGGGGTACCCACTTACTTCATTTCATCTGCTTCCTGCTTCTCTTCAGGAACTTATTGGAATTGCAAAGATCTTACTTTTTTTTTTTTCCTTACTTCTACATCTTATTCAGTGTATTTAGACTTCAGTAACTATAGACCAACCAGACTGATTCACTTCTTTACCTCGTTTTGGAGAATCTTACTTGTTGCTTGCTTCCCTCCTGAAAGGAGGAGGGGGAAAAGAATAGGAGGATTCTGCAGTTATAGACAACCATTCTCTTTCTGTTTCTGTTCAAACAATTCATGCCATAGTAACAAACGGATCTCAGTGTTCCCATGTCTTGGCCAAAAGGATTTTTATGGCTGAGACTTGAGATACAGCTACTATTTAAAAAAAAAAGGTAAACAGTTTTGATTTGTCACTTGAGCTTCAGTGGTGATTTTTTTTCCCCTGGTTAATAACGAAATAATTTATAAAATAAACCAAATACAATTAAAAAAAAATGTTAGTGGGATAACAAGGAAAGGGACTTATCCTGTTAGAACAGATACAAATATATATATACACACATACGTATTTTTTACATAACTATTCTAATTTGTGCTGAAAACTTCATGTACTGATAAATAACTTCTACTCGGCTGCATGAAACTTTTTTGTTCATATTTCTTCGTTTGTGATTTATTTTTTTTTTTTTACATTTTTACATTTTTTTTTCCACGTCAGTCCATTCACACTTTGAGTCCATCTTTCTCATCCATAGCATTTCCCTGTTCATTTTATCCACTGCATCTTCTCTGCTCATCATTGGTAGAAGATTCTGGCAGCACGGCCTGCATGTGGCTCCCTCCTCTTGTGCTGGCATGTGATGGTGGCACCGTTGTGTTCTCTTCCTTTCCCTTTTTACTAACAGACGCAGACCAAACTGGAGCATGCCCGCATTAAGGAGCTTGAACAGAGCCTGCTCTTTGAAAAGACCAAAGCTGACAAACTCCAGAGGGAGTTAGAAGACACTAGGGTAATGGTTTTCACTATTTAAATAACAAGACTGATTTGTGTTGTGGAAGATTTCTGATGACACAGTCTGCTGGGTATAACACATGCTGAAATAGATCCTTGCTCCTGCCTTGATCAGTGCCTACTCTAGGTGTAGCTGGAACACTTTAAAAATTAGCCTTAATTTTGAACTTTGGTGTTGTGTGTGTGCATGCCTGTGTATGTATACTCATTTCTTCAGAAGAATTCAGGTAAGATGTCTTAAAACTGCAAAATTAATATTTGAATCCAAGGCAAAAGTAGCAAATGGGACTGTGAATTGACGTAAAGGAATGTTCAGTGGTTCATTTTTAGAAGCAGCAAAGTTTGTTAAATCCACAAAAAGTAAGATTAAGTGTGCCAATGCTTTTAACACAAACTTAGTATTTGGGGCTTTGTTTCTGAGCTCTTAGTACTTAGTTCTTAGTTCTTAGTTTCTGAGTTGTTCTTAGTAGAACAACTGTTGTTGTTCTACTTGCTTTGCTAAGTCATCATTTGCAGTGGCTTTTTAGTTCTTTTTTTCCACCCATGGCATAATTTTTCATGGATATCCCAGTAGCATTAGTAAGACTGTTGTCTGTCAAAATATTACTGGACATACCTTGTCCTAAGTCAGAAGTTCAGCAGATGTCAGTTCTTAAGGATAGAGATAGATATGTGTATATTCATGCTCACACATGCAGCTTTTCTTGAAGTTGAGGTGGGGATGAATAGTATAAAGCCAGGAATGTACTCTATAAGAAGTACTTTTAAAGAGCAGTTGCAGGTAAGTAATAACCTTTTTCAGGCTGTTGGGATTATAAGGAGGTTGAAACAGTAACTGCCTAATTTGAAATGATTTTGGTAGCTTTCTCTGCTTTTCCATACAACAGGCTGCTTCAGCAGTCAGTGAAAAGCTCAGATAATGTGAGGACACCTTTTCAGAGAGAATAGTAGAATGGAAATAGGAGTTTCAAAGGATTTGTATCCTAAATATTTGTTTGTAGTTTTTTCTGACAGTCTCATAGCTGGCTTGAGATTAATTTGGAAGCAATTATTTCAACAAATAAAGACCTCAGGCTTCTTTCTTTTTCAGTCTGCTTTAAAAAGGTTCTGAGAAACATTCTGTTAAACTTTGATAATCTACAGAAGCGTAGTTTGTAAGTTGTTGAGCAAGTTGTTATTTCTAGATAACACAAATAAAGTCCACCTTTTGGAAGAATATAATACGCATGTAATACAAAGACATGGACCTTCTTCCTTTTTTTAAAGCAATAGTTTATACATAAATGAAAAAACAGTTGGTCTTGTTTCACAGCCTTCCACATAAAGGCAGCATTTGCCTTTACTCTAAGGTTTCTTCAGAATTTCCATAGAAACAGAGGTTGACAATGAAACTCCAAGGTATTCTAACCCAAAATGTTGGTAGGAATACACTAATGATGTTAGTTTGCAACACTCGTTGGTTTCTTTTCACTGAGGCCTAAATATCTTTGTATTGAACATACCTTTTATAATTCTTTCTTCTTTTCTTAAAATGCTGTCAATCATAGGTGGCCACGGTATCAGAAAAATCTCGCATCATGGAACTAGAAAGAGATCTAGCATTGCGGGTGAAGGAAGTAGCTGAGCTTCGAGGGAGATTAGAGTCTAGTAAACACATTGATGATGTGGACACTTCTCTTTCACTGTTACAAGAAATAAGTTCTTTGCAAGAAAGAATGGCAGCAGTTAGCAAAGAACATGAGAATGAGATGAATTCACTGAAAGAGAAGTTTGGAATTAGTGAAGAAGCATTGCAGAAAGAGATCAAGTCACTTTCAGCTTCAAATGAGAGAATGGCAAAAGAAAATGAATCCTTGAAAACTAAGCTTGATCATGCCAACAAGGAGAATTCAGATGTAATAGAGCTGTGGAAATCAAAGCTGGAATCTGCAATTGCCTCCCATCAGCAAGCAATGGAAGAACTAAAAGCTTCTTTCAGCAAAGGTGTAGGGGCTCAGACAGCAGAATTTGCAGAGTTAAAGACTCAGATTGAGAAGATTAAATTAGACTATGAAAATGAAATGTCAAATTTAAAACTGAAGCAGGAAAATGAAAGATCTCTTCATTTAAAAGAGATTGAATCACTGAAAGCAAAACTGTTGGCAGTCACAGAGGAGAAAGAGCAAAACCTGGAAAGCCTGAAGACCAAACTGGAAAGTGTGGAAGATCAGCATCTAGTAGAAATGGAAGACACTTTAAACAAATTACAGGAAGCTGAAATAAAGGTAAAGGAGCTAGAGGTACTGCAAGTCAAGTACAATGAACAAACCAAAGTTATTGATAGTCTTACACCACAGATCAAAGCTGCTGAAGAAAAGCTTTTGGACCTTGCTGCACTTCAGAAAGCCAATTCTGAAGGTAAATTGGAAATCCAGAAACTTAGCAAGCAGCTTGAGGCAGCTGAGAAACAAATTCAGAATTTAGAGACTGAAAAGGTTGATGAAAGTAGCAAGGTTTGTATCAACATCCATCCTTTTATTTTTACTTTGCTTTTATTTTACATTTGTACTGTTCTAATCTGCTACAGCAAATACATCACAGAAAAAAATATCTGTATTGAATGTATATCTTAGTGCCACCTGAGGAGGTTTAGAGAAAATGTTAACCGGGTCACATCTCACAACAGGTTTCTAGAGCTCGATCTGCACCACTAAGCAAAGCAAAAACAATTCTGCACTTCCTTGCTGCAGGCTTCAGCATGCCTCTGCTGAAAGCTTTGTGTTATGGAAAAGTGAGTTTGTTGGCTTATTTGGGAGAAGAATCCAGACATCTTAAGTTTTTAACCTTTGATGATAGAGGTATTTAAATAGAGTGACTCGGAGCTCAGTGGGGAAATATTTCCTCTGTACCTTCACTACCTTGCCTCTCATCAAACAAGGTGATGCAAGAGTATATTAGAAACCAAAGAAAGCAAAAAAGATCTTAGTGGAACTTTTCTTTAAGATAAGGGTGTGCAGTGATGTTGTTAGGTGCTGGTTCACAGCATTTTTAAAGCACACACTGCAATGTGATAGATTTAACCAGGATTTTTCTTGGTTTTGGATGAAATGTCTCTTTAAAGCTGATAGCATGGCATTCAGTACTTGAAAGTTGTTCCACCACTGCAGCTAGGAATAAAAGTGCTAAGATATCATTTTATTTTAGGGGTTCCCCCACACCCCCAATCTATGCGTGACCTGACAAAGTAGAGCTCTAATTGTGGAACCTAACTGGAAACAGCTTTCCTAAACCCTTCACAGATGGTTCTAAGATACTAGATTTCTACCGACTTTTGACTGTATTTTTGAAGTCACAGTGAGTTTCTGCACTACACCCTGGGTGTGGTACAGAGCTTTTTGAAAAATTACATTTCCATCTGCATCTTGGTCTGCATAGCCAGTTGAAACAGAGATGCTAAACTTATCAGTGAAAAATTAAAACAATAAAAAACCAAAGCTACTAATTCAACTGATGCTGTAACTTTGTTTGGAAATTTTTAATATACTCAGAAGCATCTGCCATTAAGTAATGTTTTCACCATTAATTCCAAGAGAACTAAATTTTAATGATTTTAAACATATTCCAAGATGCAATTAGTACTGTGATGTATGTAGTCATCAGTGGAAATCAGCTTCACTCAGTTAACATATTTTTTTTTGTCAGTGTTTTTTTTTATTTTTCATCTTACTGTGATTTTAATATTATAGTTTTTTCTTTCAGATTCAACTTTTCATTTTCCTATTTTTTCATTCATATTTGTAATTTTATTTTACTCCATCTCATCATCTTTGTTAGGCTAGTAATCTGGCCAAAGAACTGCAGGGCAAAGAGCAAAAGCTTCTTGACCTTGAGAAAAACTTGAGTGCAGTAAATCAAGTAAAAGATTCTTTGGAAAAGGAACTTCAAGTTTTGGTGAGTAATATCCAAAAATTTTGACTTTATCCTTTGGATTTGGGTTTTCATGGTGAGAGTGTAATTGAAATCTGTGGATCAACTCTGAGCAAAGTCGAAGCTATTTTACTCCTGAAGAGAAGACAAAGGCTCATGACTAATGGGATCCGTCTCTGAATGAAAAGAGCATTTCACCTGAATTCTGTGTTATTAGGTGTTTTGTCTTAGTAGAACTCATCTGTTTATGGATTTTAGAGAAAATACTAAACCAAATCAAAAGCAGCATGTAGTTTCAATTTAGACTACTCATTAAAGAACACGTGGCCCTTTGTTATAACTGTCGTATGAATTAATGCTTGCTGTTCATGTCGTACAAATGGGTTTTGAAGACGTTTTTCATCTGATTTCTCATTTTCCATAGTTGGGTGGGATTTTCCTGAGAAGCTCCACCAGAGTTAGTAACAAAAAGACATGCTTTTAGGTTTTACTGGCCCTGTCATAAAATCTTTCCATGGCCACAGTAAACATTTGAAGTTGGTGGAAGAGTCTTGCTTTTTATCCTCCTCAATATCCTCCCTTTTCTTCACAGTCTAGCATCTCTTCCTGCTGGTAAAGCTGGAAAACACTGGTATGAGATTGATCACAGGGTTGCAGATGTCCTCTGTGCAGCCTTTGAGCAGCATGAATTGCTTCTTGCATTGAGACCAGAAGTCATGTCTCCTACACTGGACTCTGTGGCTGCAGTTCTGTTGCTATGCTCATTGATGGAGAAGTTATTTTCAGTGTTTAGGGACTTGCTTGCAACCAAGGCAAGGGAAAATCTTGCTTTATGTTGCTGAATATATCTGTGCTAAACTGTAATTCAAAAACTTCAGATCTATTTATGATAAGAGTGAAGACTATTCTATTTTGTACTTGAAAAATACTTAAGATAAATTTGGTGTTTGAATTACACTGCTATAACCAAACCTGAACTTAGGTTTTTATCCATTTTTCAGAAAGAAAAGTTTACTAGTGCAGCTGATGAAGCAGAAAACGTTCAACAAACTATGCAAGGTATGTCTGCTGCTAAACTAAACAAAGAACTACAAAGCTGCAAAAATAAAGGGTTTTTTTTACATGCACTTTCAAATTTACACGTGGTGATACAGCACTTCCAACAGCTATGGAAGGGGCAGGATTTCTTGCAGCCTCTCTTCTTAAGAGTCATGTACCTTGCAAGCAGGTGGAATTGTCTGCATCTAAGTAGTTACTAACTTTGTTTTCAAAATTTTACTTGCATAGAAACACTAAAAAAACTAAAGCAAAAAGAAGAGCAGTTTGCACTCATGTCTTCAGAACTGGAAGAGCTGAAGTCTAGTTTGACTGGTAAGGAAGTAATAAAATGGAATGTTTTGAAAAGTGCTTCAGCTTTGTGCTTTCCTATGCCCCTTGCTCAGCTCGCTACATCATCGTATGTAATGCTTTCACAACTGCATATGCCTTCAAAAGAAAGCCTTTTCTCTAGGCAGAAAACAGCTTTTGTGGCACTGTGTGTAGTGACCAGCAAGGTGATGATCATGTTAAGGAAATAGTGCAGTAAGGCAGGAGACTTCCTGGCCAAATGTATTCCAAATCAGTAGTTAAATTCTTGTTTGACACTGCAGTGATATCATGCTGTGGTGATGGTCAGATACCAGGCAAAGACTTGGGGACCAGACTGAAGCATTAAACACACGAGACAGTTAATTCACAGAAACCTTGTCGATAAGTAGTGTTTTCTCTGAGGACTGTACATGAGCCTGGTTGTCTGCTTCTTCCCATCGCACAGGAGGGAGGCTTGCTGTATCTTTCTAGTTGTGCATCTCAATTTTAAACCAATGTAGAAAGAAATTAAGAATGATTATGTGCCTGGTAAGCAAGCCTTTCAAGGCATTGTTGAGACTGTAGAAGTCATCTCAAGGACTGCTCTTGCCCTTGGTGGCAGTGCCTGCCCTGGGCTGAGTAATTTTTTCACTGTAGCTTCATGTTGCTTGCATTGTTTGTCTTCCGCTGCTCTACTAAATAGCTGGTGAGTTGACTGGCCTGTACGATGTGCATACCTCTCTTGTTATACTGCTTGATTACCTTCTGATATGGGTAGAACTTATATCAGCTTCTCGTGACCTGAAGCTGAGTGAATCGCTTCTGAAAGAAAGATTTCTTGACTGTTTTTACTATTTCTGAAGAGTTCTTAACCTTTTGCTACAGTTAACAGTTCAAACAATCATAAGTTTTAATTTTAAAGGGGTAATTTGCAAGGTCTGTAGCACCAATATTGCTCCATTTATAGTTCTTCACTAGGTAGTCTGTGCATACCCTTTCTCTTAAATTTACTAGACTGCTAACCTTTGTCTTGCTCAGTGATGGAGAAGAAATTGAAGGAGCGAGAAGAGAGAGAACAGCAACTGATGGAAGCTAAAGCCAAGCTTGAAAATGATATTGCAGAGATCATGAAGTCTTCAGGAGACAGCTCTGCCCAGCTTACGAAAATGAATGATGAGCTCCGGTTAAAAGAAAGGTATTCCATCATTGTCAGAACATTTTCACGTTAATTCATGCACTCAGCTTCTCATTTTAGCTTTTTGTAAATACCTGAACAAGATGCTCCTGAGTGTCACATTGATATGACAAGTGAACTTATTCTATCAAATGAAATTAATCAAAACAAGTGTCCCCAGAGTGATTAGAAGAGCATCTAACATTTGTAATTCTAAAATTCTTATGTAACATGCTTCTCATTGTCCAGAGTAAATGAACATTTTAATAACTTAGACTGTTTTGTGATTGTGATTCTTAATTATTTGATTACCTAATAAGCTTGGTTTATTTGGATATATATAAGACTTTGGTCATATTTTTGACTAGCAAGAGAAAATGTGTTTTTTTTCAAATAAAAATATTATGTAGAATAGTTGCTCTTTACCTTTACAAAACCCCAAACTGGCAGCTGTGTTGCTCTGCACACGAGCAAGTGCTTGGTCTCACTTGTGTATATTTAATTTAGCAGAACATTAGCTATGTTGAATAATTAAATTTCTTTCTAAATGCTTGGACAGAATATAGAACTGCAGCATAATTTAGTCTCTTTCATCTGTGTGCTTGTGTCGTGCTGTCAGCAAAAAGTGATGTTCTTTTATTTGGTCTTTTAGGCAGTTGGAGCAAATACAACTTGAGCTTACAAAAGCAAATGAAAAGGCTGTTCAGCTTCAGAAAAATGTGGAGCAGACAACACAGAAAGCTGAGCAGAGTCAGCAAGAAACTCTCAAGATTCATCAAGCAGAACTGAAAAATATGCAGGATCAACTAACAGACATGGTAAGAAGAGCTCTAAAAAGCACTAGCTAATTATGGTGCACAACATTGTACTGCTGCTTCTTTAACCGTGTTCCAATTGTTTTATCTTCTCTCAGAAAAAGCAGATCGAGACTAGTCAAAATCAATATCAGGATCTTCAGGCAAAGTACGAGAAAGAAACTTCTGAGATGATTGCTAAACATGATGCAGATATCAAAGGGTTTAAGCAGAACCTGCTGGATGCAGAAGAGGCACTGAAAATTGCGCAAAAGAAAAATGATGAGTTAGAAACACAGGCTGAGGAGCTGAAAAAGCAAGCAGAACAGGCCAAAGTATGTATACTTTGTTACTCTGCCAGGAACTGCAGTTTAAATCTGTTTCAGTGGATCGCTGGTTTTTGCCTGGTTTCATTATTTCTTAGCAGGATTTTTGCTGTGTTTCTTTTTGAACTTTTCCAGGGTAGATTAATATTGCTTAGGGAGAGAAGCACACACAACTAACTGGTTGTCTTCTCTAGATTACACAGGAATCCATGAGATATGGTTCTCTGATGTTAACATTTTATGTTCATAGATATCTGGCTTAGCACAATCAGTTGGAGCCAAATGTTATCATCTGTTTTTTAAATGAATTAATTTTAAATAACATATGTTGTGAACTATTTCATTTAGCAGTGTTACACATCTGAAATTTTGTTCTGTAATATGATCCCATATTATCTGCAACTACTTAGTAAGTAGTAATTTTAGTAATTTTAGTAATTTTCTTTTTTTTTCTCCTGTTTCTTTGACATTGCTGCTTGCTTTCATCCCTCATTAGTTATTTGCTATAATCTTTGTTTTATGCTTTAGCAAAGTATTTGGCGTATAAACTGGCACACAGGATAACTTTAAATACAGCACTGATGTGTTCTGAATTAACTGAGTTATGACAGTCTGTTGTGGACAGAATCATGAAGAGAATTAGCTATAGAAGGTGCATTTGAGAATTAGTAACTAATATAACTCCCTGCATTTTAATTCACTTAGATTCTCATGAAATCATTCTGTGCCTCTTTTCTGAGTAATTTACATTTAGAAAATTTGTTGAGAGTAGTTTTTAAGTCTTGCATGGAGGTACCTTCAAACAATCTTTTATTTAACCTCTGAAAAGTTTTCCTGCAGATGGTGGGTATTTTGTAATTAAATATCAGGGTGGCTGTTGACAGTTAATTTCACAGGGACTGTGTGTCAGTGTATACACTTTTTAAAAACTTGAATTACAATAGCTCTGTTTGCCCTTAAACCATATTTCTCATTTGTCTGCTTGACTTCATTTTTTTTTTCCCCCCTTCTCCCTGACTTTATTTCTTTAGTCCTTAAGCTCTGTGTTAGCATCAGCCAGAAAAGAGATTGAACTAATGTCAGACAAGATGAGGGGTTTGATATCAGAAAAAGAGACTCTGGCACAGGAGGGGAGTACTTTAAAATTAGAGAGAGACTCCTTGTTATCAAAACTTGCAGAATTGGAATCAAAGATTTCATTAATGCAACAAGACCAAGAAGAACTTTGGACAATAAATGAAGAACTTAATTCAGAAAATAAAAAAATCCTAAAGCAGAAGGAAGAAGCTGAGGCCAAAAGCCAGCAGGAAAGCACAGAAAAAATGGCACTAATTTCTGAGAAAAGCAAATTACTCTCTGAAATAGAGGCAACACAGGCAGAGCTTCTGAAGATAACTCAAGAAAATGGTGCTCTCCGGTCTTCAGAGTCAGCCTTGCTCCAACAGTTGAAAGAACTTCAGGGCAACAAAACTGCTATGGATGTGATATGTCAGAAACATATCAAAGAACGGGAAGAACTGCAGCATTATCAGAAGAAACTTTTGGAAGAGAAAGATGCAATTGTTAAATACAAAGATGATGTTATTCAGAAGCTGGAAAGTTCTTGTGAGGCCCTGACCAGAGATCAAAGAGAGCTACTGCAAAAAGTGTCAACTCTGACTGCAGAGAGAAATTCAGCCCTAGGTAAACACTCAGACCTTGAAAATACACATATAGCCTTAAAAAATGAAATGGACAGTCTGCTGCAGTCACATCGGAGTCTGCAGGCTGAGAAGGAACTTGCTGAGAAAGTCTTTACTGAGAAAATAAACAAACTGAACGTAGAAAAGGAATCTGTTCTTCGTAAGTCGTTGCAATTTAAAAAGCACAATGAAGTTCTTCTTCAAGAGAAGAATGAATTGGAGAACAAATACGCAGAGCTTCTCGATGAAAACAAGTCTTCTGCAAATGCAATTTCTTATATGAAGAGAGAACATGAACTGGAGGTCTCAGCCAAGAGAGCTCTGGCCCAGGAGAATACCATGCTCCAAGATTCCATTGAAGCCCTCAAGGAAGAACTAAGTAAGAAGACTCAAGAAAATCAAGAGCTAATAGCCTGTAAGCGTGACCTTTCAGATCTTCTGAAAGAGGCCCAGGATGCTAAAAGAACATTAGAAAATGAACTGGCTGCTGTGTCAGATGCCAAGCAGGTCCTGTCATCTTCATTCACAACCTGTTCCTCTGATAGGGAAATGCTGACCAGAGAGAGGACTGAATTGCAAGATAAGTGTCAGAAATTAAATGCAGAGGTTGAGATTATGAAAGAAAACTTAACCATAGAAAAGGAAGCTAGAAAACTGGACAAGGAATCATTTTTGTTGGAACGTATGGAACTTCAAAGCAACATCAGCTTCTTGGAGAAGGAGATAGAAGAACTGAGAGAGAAAAATAAAGACTCGCTGACTGAGAAAGAACTTTTAGTTCAGGAGAAAGAAAAATCTGAAACTAAACTGGCAGAAGTAATTAAAGAAAATGAAACCCTCTGTGCAGAGACAGAGCAGCTTGCTTCCAGTATCGAACGACTGAAGAGTGACTTTGCTTCCTTGTCTAAATCCAAAGCAGAGCTCCAGGACTTGCACAGCTGTGTCTGTGAAAGGCTGGATGATCTTCAAAACAGTCATGAGGTGATGGAGAAGGAGAGAATAAAGTTACTTCAGGAAAATGACAGCCTGCTTGCTGAACAGAGGAGTCTGGTCATCGTTAAGGAAGAGACACTAAAAGAGAAGGAGAAATTCTCCAAAGATTATTATAAACTGCACGAGGTAGTAGCACTTTTAGAACAAACTAATAGTGACCTTTCAGGCAAATTGCTGGTGTCTCAGGGCAAAAATGAGGTGCTGCAGGAGGAGATGAACAATCTGGCCTTGAAACTAAAAGAAATTGAGACTCTCCAGGCCCAAACAGTAGCAGAAAAAATAGAGGTATTGAAACACAGAGTTAAACCATCAAGTATGATTGTACTAATACTGAGCACTAACCCCATGGCTTCCTCTCTGCACTTCATTGCACAATCAGCACTTCATCTCAGTATAAACAGGCTGGAATTATGGTCTCTCTCAATATGTTACTTTGGGTTGGTTTTTTTTCAAGTTGTAACTGTGAGTCTGAAAGACACTTTAATATTTTTAAAAAATAGTTCTAAATACAAAAGCCTATGCTGTTGCTGAATGTTGCAAGAAAACAACGTAAACTGTGAATAAAAGGAAGTTTTGTTTCCTGAATCTGGTAGGAGAAATTGAGCAGCTGGTTTTGTTGAAGTTCTCTGCAGCTTGAAAGCTAGGGTAGTAATAGATGTGGAGTAGGTCTTTGTGCAGTTTTATGTTAAATTACAACAAACTACAAATTTGAGTTACTAAAAAAACCCAACAAAACAATGTATTGCTCCTCTAAGTGCAATTGGATAAAAAGCAGTAGAAGAGAACCATTGAAATTCATATTATTGAACTTCCAGTCTGTTAAAGACATTGGCATCTCTGGTGTTCTTTTTATTCACAGAAGTGTTTTGTATTCACCACCAACAAATTCTGTAAAGTATTTTGAATTTCAGTTTTTGGGGCTTGAAGCCCACAAAAACACTTTGAATACCAATTGGAATCAAGGTATCCTATAGGAAGGTATTATGCCTACCTAGGTATTTTAATATCCTTGTGAAATATTTCTTTTTATGAGGGCATAATGAGCAACACTGAAATAATGTGATAATTGGCTTTATCTCCTATTTAATTTTTAATTCTTTTTCAAATTTTTAACAGCTTTTTATAATTCCACATTTTCTGAAAATAGAGAAGCCTGTTGGAAGTGAATATCTGTTGAACTACTACTGTCTAGAGTGGTTAGAAGTCTTAGAACAATCACAGAGATGGTAATTAAAAACCCAGGAATTAAAAAAGAAGAAATGGGCTTCCCCAGTGATGACACAAGCATGGGGTTCCGATCTATTTCTGCATGGAATTGAATCTTCTCATGTCCATTTATTTTTATACTTTATGCAGCTTCCAAATGCAAATAAATTCTCCAGTTGAAGTCCTTATTTGATTGGAAAGCAGCTGGCAGACTGCGGAGCTGTGCATAAAGTATTGTGGTTTATCTTTTGCTTTCAGAGATCCCTTTGGTAATACTTTTGTTTTTTCCTCCTCACTGCCCTTTTATACACAGGCTGCCAAAATGGCAGAAGATGTGTTCCAGACTGTGGAGAAGGTGACCAAAGAGAAGGATGCCATTCACAAAGAAAAGATTGAAACTTTGGCCTCTTTGGAGAACTCTAGACAGACAAACGAGAAGCTACAGAATGAAGTAATCACAATTAAATGCTTTTATATGAAAAGCTTTGCCTAGTTAGTAAGGAACAACCATTGAATTACTGGGAATTAGCTGAGGCAGGAGTGGATTCTGTCATTCTCCCACCACAATACTCAGTCTTGGCTGGCTTGTGAAGACTTACTAGATGCATGCATATTGATGGAAAATCTGCGTGCTTTGTGTAGCCATGTGACCCATGTGCTTTTGTATTTTGCTTGTGGTTTCAAACACTTTACAGCATATAAGGTCATGTCCCTTAAATCTTGGTGCAGCAACAAAAAAAAATATGTAATAGGAGTTTTAGATGCTACAGCAGCTTTTGCAGATCACAGAATCAGGAGACATGGGTTTGACTTGAGGATTAATCAGTCTTGCTGTACAGCTTTGGCTGAGTTGCTTAGATGTGACCACTCCGTCCCCTGGTTGTAAGTATGGGGTGCAACTTCACACTGAGGAAGTGTTGCAGAGCTCTGGGTAACAGTGCTCCTAACTCACTGCTGAGTTATGTACTTACACAAATACATGAGCACAGTGGTCCCAAAGAACTTCAGAGTCCAGCGTGTTCCTCTGGGGACCTGTTCTTCAGTCTGTGTTCTCCCACTACGTTGTGGTACTTTAGGGTTTGAAGGAGGGAAAAATGTCCTTACCAGTTTTTTTTCACACTTTCGCCCATGTATCTCATCTAACATCAAACTGGCATTTTTTCTGCAGATCTTGAGCAGCCTGTTGCCTCTTTGGTGGCTCTTTCATCCTTTGCAGCTCTTGTAATAATGGTAGTGAACAGCTGGGCTATCGTAAACGCCACAGCTTGTGCTGAAACGGGAATGATTTCCAACAAGATCTGATGACTTGAGAATTAAAAGCGGTGACGTTCATAATGGCAGGGGTTCACTTTCTGGATTTAAAAAAAAAAATCCACAGGGTCCTGTAATGCCACGAGAAGGGCTGCAGATTATCTGTTATGTAATATAATGTGTCACTGAACACGAACAAATAAGGTTCACAAGCTGGTGGTGTTTACGTGGTAGATGCAGGCTCAGTAAGTAGATATCCAACAATTTGTCCCATGCAACGAGATCTCTGAAAGGAATTCATTTCCTATTGGTGCAAGCACAACATTCAGCCTACTGTTTCTCAGAAATTAAGGTATGGTAAAGCAGAACTTCTTAGAGGAGCAACTATCAAGGAAACAGCTAATTTTAGCAACAACCATTGGATTAAAAAAAACCAAAACCAACCCACAACATGCTTGGATTTGTATGGCATTTAAAATGGAGATGCTTTGGAGCTTTACCTTTTATATCGGGGTGTATTCATCTGAATACTGTAAACTGCTCTTCAATGGAGTTTTAATTCTTTGTGCTGCTCGACTTGAATGCAGAAAGTCTCGTAACTTTTTTTGTTAGACAAATGCTTCTCAGTATAAACAGACTGTGTTAATTTGAGGACTAAAGATGAAAAAGTGGAACAGCTCAGCTCAGGCCTGCATTTTGCTGAGTCTCTTTTCTGAGTGCTACACTTAAGAACTGTATAGTTTCATTAGTGTAATGAGGTTTGGTTTTTTTTTTCCTCTTTAAGTTGGACATGCTTAAACAAAACAACCTGAAAAATGAAGAGGAACTTAATAAATCAAAAGAGCTTCTAAATCTGGAGAACAAGAAAGTGGAAGAACTTAAGAAAGAATTGTAAGTATTTCAGTGTTAAATCTGTCACACCATTCCTTTGTAGTTACATTTCCTTTTAATTATTTTGAAAAATTGTCTTTCAGTATCTCTCTGGTATCCTCACTTATAAAGCAGATATTAGATCAAAATTAAATACCAGTTTGACAGGCATAGAACTTGAAATCAGAATGTGGCTCCTGGGTTGCTGAAGGGCATTGAAACAAGTCCTTCACTTCAAGCATTGTTTGAAATGTTTGTTGCAGGAAGTACAGAGTTCTGCCACCTGAGGGCACTAGATTATTTTAAAAGCTTTATTATGAAGAAAATCTGTTTGGATTTAATTACAGGTACATTTGGAGCGTTAAGTAGTTTTATGTGGCTTTTTTATAGAAAATCTGGTTCTGCTTTTATTTTTCATTGATGACTTTATCCAGTTTATTCCCATTGCCCCACTATGCACTGATGTTCTAACTGGTACAATATAAATGCCATAATGTAAAATTAGAGTTAATTGCTCATTATTTGAAATGCTTCATTTGAGGAAGTACCTCTTATGTACTACAAAGTGTCTGAGATGAAGCCTGGTTATTGCTACCTTGCAGGGGCTGCGTGTCCCCCAGATTTCAGAGATGTAATGCACTAAATCACGTCTCTGTTGATCAGAGATCAACAATCACCTGCACTCCCAGAAGAATTTCTAGACCCATGTAGTGAGAGCTGGACTAATAGCTAAGAGCAGCTTTGACTAATTATTATTATTATTGTTAGTTCCATGAGTCATTTTGTGACAGTTCTTAACCACTGAGGTAAAGACAGGGCACAAAGGAAATCAGCACACAGAATTAATACTCGGATTCCATGTGACTGACAGTTTTTACTGCTTGCTTTTGAAAACCTGCATGGTTGTGTAGACAGCAGCCTCCTTTGAGAAAGGCAGGATTTCATTCCATGAGCAATTCCTACCTGCTTCAGTGCTCATGGGAAATGCCAAAGCAAGATAATTATTTCCAGACTAGTTGTTCTAATGGTGGAACAGCAAGGGGTTAGCAGACTGTGGTATCATGGAAAGACAAAATATATTAGACTGTAATTTGTCAAGCAGAAGTTATTTATAGAAGGTGCTTCCTTTAAAATCTTCAGCACTGACAGGTGTTCTCATGATCCTGATCGTTCTGTGGGGTTTTTTAATTATTTTTTTCTTAAGGTTAATCTTAGTCATAAACTATTGCTGAATGTGGTCTCTGATCATCAGTGGTAAGAGACATTGTGGATAAGTGGAAGCTTGTCTAGTTTTTTAATTGATCTTTGTTGTCATAATTATTTTGTGAGTTGTCTTCTTTTAATTAGAGTAAGGAATTAGCTTGATAATAAGCATTTCTCAATCAGCAGTAATGTGGGCAGAGAGATCACCTCTGAGAGGTCCGTGGATGAAGGTGGTCCCTTGCCTTTGCGAAGCAGAGGGGAAATGTTGCCCACAGGAGCTGTGACTGTAGCTGGGACATGCTGCTGCCCCTTGAGCCGCGTCTTTTGGAGGCGGAGGGATGTTCAAGTGACATTGGTGTCCTTTGTAAAAGAGCCTTCCCTGGAAAACTGGGGTGAAGAAAAGCAGAAACACCGGCTGGATGTCGTGTATTCATTTATTACCACATACTGTCAAGTGCACTTGCAGCTATCGGTTTAAAGTTCCTTGGCACCAAGCACAAGGGAGCATTTCACACAAACTGACCCCAGTATTTTGGGTGACTTTTTTTTACAATGCCCTGAATCTGCAATTTAATGCCAAAAGCAAAACCAGAACTGGTCAGTGCTGCAGTTCAGCAAACAATCACGGTTAAAAATAGGTACGTTCCTGCATCAGCAGGTAGATTCATACCAAGATAATGGGAATCGATGTTCAGTGATGTGAGCTCGCCTGCTCAGTCCAGTCCTGGTGGATTGGAAAAGGGTCAAGGTGAGACCAGAGACAAGAAATGGTTGGAAAATCTTACTCATATCACACGCTGATCTCAAAGTAAATCAGGCTTCCTTTTGTTTAAATGTGCCCAATAATAGGCCACAGAGTCCTTGTCTTTTGAAGTGTTTGAATAAGTTTCTGACTTAGGGGTTCTTCTGCCTCCCACAGTCATAGAAGTATTTTTAATATTCCAGTCAGGGTTGAACTCTGTAATACTGGCACATAGGAGTTGTGAGACTCCTTTTTATGAAAACAAAACACAGTCATAAAAATTACTGTTTAATGAAATGAGGCGTATCTTTTTTATTTTTTGAAAGATGTCAAATCTTATAAAACCCTGTGTTAGTCACTTGTGTTACAGGCAGGCATGCAAAGGATTTAAAAAAAAAATTGTTGAAAATAAACTTACTTTAAGAAAACCACACATATTGGTAGCAGCACAGGCTGATGAAACCTGTAAATCCATTTTTTCCTCAGCTTTTGTTTTGTCTCATTTTCAGTTTTGTATCTGTTAAAATAATGGGATAATTAGATACTTTCTTGTTTTGCCTCCTGTGATCTTGTACATTCCTCTGTTTGGATGTCAGATCTTGTAGGGAGTATTTAAATAAGTAGAACTGTAAGGTTACTTTTCCCCTTTCTTTTCCCCTTTCTTTTCCCCTTTTTTTTTTTCTTCTTATGTTTTACCTCAGGCTACAAAGTTCACCTCTGAGAAAGTCCAGGCTATAAGCCTTGCCAGTGCTCTTGTCAAACCCTCCCCTGTATCTCTGAGGGTTGGCAGCATGCAGAACCAGCAGTCTGAACTCACCTTCCATTTCTTTGAGTATCTGAGACATTTAAAGGAAAGGAGTTTTGTGCTGCTGCTGCTTTTCAGGGTTAAACCTGTCCCTGTGCATCTGAGGTGTAGATTGTCACCTTTATTATAGATCCCGTTGGACACGTGACCTGGATGTATTTTTCCAAGCTGTGAAGCTGAATCTCTCCCACAGTTTTTTCTTGCCTCTCTCGTTCCTATGGTAACGATGCACTTTCTGTCCTCGCAGCGAAGCGCTGAAGCTGGCAGCAGCTCAGAAGTCCCAGCAGCTTGCAGCTTTGCAAGAGGAGAACGTGAAACTTGCCGAGGAGCTGGGCAGGAGCAGGGACGAAGTCACAAGTCATCAGAAGGTAGAGTGGCTGGAACGGTTCCTGACCTGTGGGGAAGGTGCTGCGCGTGCTGTTTCCGCTGATGCCGGGTGACGTTGCACTGCATGTTTGTGCTTGAGAGATGAGTTGTTCTGAGAAGGTTTTGAAATAAATTTGGAAGCCACCTGCCTGGGGAGGTTACAGCTGCAGGCTGGCAGGAGGTTATGTAACCCGTGAAGGATACTTAGGAGGCTGGGGAATAAGCAGAAATTAAATGTGCTTTAGCCAAACGTATTAACAGACACTTGCTATTTCTGTCAGGAGTAATTTTGTTATACAACTGGGGAAATCTCCATCTCCTCAGTTCTAAGGAAAATCTAGCTATTTAATTCTCCTCCTTATTCCTGCTCTCCCTTCCCACAAAAAAAAAAGTGGTATTTAGGATGGTTTTAGAGATATTTAGCATGTTTTTCAGAATACTATTTAATACTACTTCACTGGACTCTGCCTCTACAAAGTGCTTACACGTGTATACTTCAACTTCCTATGGTGCATGCACAGGAACAGCACTGCAGCCAGGTAGTGGGCACAGGAGGACTAGAACTGATGTAAGATGGTTTGTTGATGGTAGTTTCTAGGAGGAAAAAAGACTCTCTTCTTTCTTTTTTTTTCTATTGCATTACAGTATGTTGTTGGAACCTTAAAAGAATGGGCTTAGTTATACAGCTTATAACACTGGTACTTGTCAAAAAAGAAATTAGATTTCCAGCCATTAGATATGGTGGGTTTATTCCTTGTGGAGCAGTTCTGATAACAGCTGATAACATGACGGCATCTTTGGAAGATCAAGTACAAAAGCAAAAAGGTTAAAAGACGTGAGTTTATATCTTGCCCTTCTGAGATGGCACTTGTGCAGAAGAGGGGTACGCCTGTTCCCAGTGACAGTGGAACACAGCTCTCCTGTCCTACAACAAAGCCTGATATTTTTAAACCAAGAGGCTGACTTTTCCCTAAGAGTCTTGTTTTCAAAGACTAAGGATGGGTGACTACAGATCTGGCCAGTTTCTAAACCCTTTTGGCTGCTGACAGGAGTAATGCACGAGCTGCTTCATCCTAAAGAGCCTTTGGAGATGATTAACAAGAGCCCCAGACGTGTGGGCTCAAGCACTGACTCATGCTGCATCTGAGTAGTGGTGTGGTAAGAGAGCGCCGTCATCCCCAGCAGCCAGTGGGAGCTCAGCTCCCCACTCCCACATGTTTTCTTAAATTATTTCAGGATTTTTGAGGCAATTTGTTATTTTCAGAAAAAGTTGTAACTTGAAAAGGATTCATCAGCGTTGGTCAAATCTTTCTGCCTGTTGTATGTAGTCAGAGTAAGTCCCTGAGGGAAGGGACCCTTCAGCCCGCAGGCAGAGGCTGGCAGCGGTCACCGCAGTCTCAGGCTGTGTGGCCTCTGTTGTTTCCAGACAACCTTGTGAAGGAGTCCAGCTCTCTGCGTCCTGCTGTCTGCATCCAGCCCATGGATCTGTCAGCAGGGATCCTTCTCTCATGGCCACGATAGAGATCTCTGTCAGTGAAGCTCAGGTGTTAGCCCATCATCTTGCAAACTGGAATATTCTCAGTTCACTTGCACCGTGGCCTTTTCTGGCTCCAAGATCAAAGATCTGGAAGATCTTCTAGAGCTTGGAGAAACAATCTGTGTGCCTTCTTCAGCCATTTGTGTTGCATTATGTCCTCTTCTGCGAGGAGGACGTCATCTGAATCGTGGAGACATGGGAATGCCATCTGTTGCATTTTCTAGGTGCGTATTTGGGTTATGGTGTCTTTAGGTCCAGTGAACTGCACAGCCTCATAAAAGACTGGAAGAGGCATTTGGTGTTCCAGGCAGCTCTGTTGTGGCAAAAGGAACAAAAGCAAAATGGTGTCATTTAAAAATGC